GGGAAAGGGGAAAGCAAGGAGGATCTCGGTTGGAGCCCCAGAAAGACACAGAGTCACAGAGGCATGAGACAAATATAGAGACTGAGAGACACAGAGACAGACAGGATGAGACACACAGCAAGAGACCAGAAACCAAAAGACAGAGGAAGACAGAGACAAAAATGTGGGCTAGGAGACAAAGAGGAGATAGAGACGTGGAGAGAGAATACAGAGAATGGGAGAAAGAGGCAGAGATACAGAGCTATCTAAAGGCTAAACAGAGATTGTGAGACTTGGAGACAGAGGTGCTGAGAGACAGACAGAAGGAGGATATAGACTGTGGGCACAGAGAGGCGGAGGGACAAAAGCACAGGCTAAGAAATGCAGAAAGAGGGACCCAGAGACTTGAGGGGGACGTGTTGCAGGGGGAATGGACTGGGATGGGGGGAGCCCTCACCTGTCCCCAGCCCTCCTCTCGATCACTTGCTTCTGACGCTGCTGCCTCCACTGCCTCGCCTGGGCTCTGGAAGAGGTGACAGCCTGGGGTGGTGGGAGGGGGCGGGGCCAGGGCGGGCCAAGGAACAGGAAGGGGGAGCTCGGGGCAGAGAGCCAGCATAGGGGGCCAGTTGCGTGTGAGTGTCACAGCCACTCGGGGTCACGTGGGAGAACAGTCACTGTCATCATCCTGAGGAGCCCCCCTCCCAGGGTACACAGCCTCTCACATTGTCCCACCCGTCCCACTCAGCTACTGCACACGGAGTCGCAGTCACACACAGTGTCACGCACAATCCCATACACCCAGCCGCAGGGAGGCATGACACAGAATCTCACACACTGTTCCTCACAGAACATGTTCTTCATGTTCATTCACAGTCCTACAATCCAGCGTCACACCCAGAGACCCAAAGTCTCGCCCCCACAGGCTGACAGTCATTCGCAGTGACACAGCCACATACCTGGGGCGTGGACTCCTCCGCTCACACGAAACACAATCACAGCTTCCCACAGTCCCAGTGACACAGTGTCCATCACACACACATTCACACCATCACTAGGTCACATCACAAACACTGTCTGTCTCCCCCCACTGGCCTATGTGCCCCATGAGGACAGGGCCAGGGCATCTCAGTCACCACTGGGTCCCCAGCATCACTCAGCACAGGTTGGGGCATAGAGCAGAGGCTCAAAGAATGATGGTCGACGAAATAAAGGCAGACAGTTATACGGTTCCTCACGCAGTCATACAATCCTTTAATGACGTGATCTGAAGGTAACACACAATGTTACACAACTCCACCCATTAACACGCTCACACATCGAGTCACACACTTCACAAAATCACCTACAGAGTCCACAGTCATATTCCAACAACACACATTCCCCCAGTGTCACTAAGGCACACTCTCATGAGCTCCTGGTGTCACATTGTCACACTGTCATCCTCAGTCACATCCAGTGCTAAGGTCATACAAACATACAACTCTCCATCACAGCCTCACCCGCACTCACAAGTCACATACAGTCACACACAGTCACACAGTTTTCCACAGGATCACACATCATCATCCCATGATCACACACAAACCCATAGCCTCACGTGATCTGGTCACCGTCACCACTGAATCACACGCCCCCTCACAATCTCCACTTTCAGTCTCTTCCTTTGCTCTGAAATGCAGAGAATATTTGGCTTAGAAACTGCGTCCTGGCTCTCAGCACTCTCTTCCCCCTTTAATACAAATCACCAATTCCTGCACGTTAATCATACTAGTAACATTCATGAGCACACACTCCCTGGGGAGCTGTGAGGTAAATGGGACAGAGGTGAGTCTGCCCATTTTGCAGAGGAGAAACTGAGGCCCAGAGGCCCCGGGAGGGGCAGGGAGTAAGGGTGGCATGAGATCCAGCACCAGAGGCTAAAAGGAGACCAGTCTGGGGGAGGGGGGTTGACATGGGGTGGGTCCTGGCTTCCTGACCTCCAGCTGGCCTCCCTGCTCTCTGCCCCACATTCCTGGCGCCTTCTGGGTCCTGGGAAAGGCTCAGTTGAAGTGGAGAGGGGAGGGGTCTGAGATTGCCCGGCACCTCGGGAAGAGGCTGGAGTTGGGAGGGAGTCTCTTCTTGGCCTCAAGAGGGCCTGGGGGTCACTTGCTAGGGATGGGAAGGTGGGGGGAGGCTGGAAAGTGGGAGGAGAGAGGCTGGGGGCAGGAGGGGGAAGCAGGGGAGAGGAACTGAGGTGGTGAGAGAGACAGGAAAAGAAACCAAGGACCAAGAAAAACCAGAGACAGGCAGAGAAAGGCAGAGACAGGAAGAGGCAGAGACGACAGAGACCAAGAGAGACAGACAGTGAGAAAGAAATAGAAAAGTACAGAACAGTAGAGAGAAATACCGAGAGAGAGAGTGAGAGAATACAAAACAAAACAGGGGAGAGAAAACAGGGACCAAGGGAGGGAGAAAGACAGAGAGAGAATAGATACAAATTGGAAGATGGAGATGGGGAGGGGTGGAGGGAGAGAGAGCCTGGAAGACGGGGGCCCTGAGGAGAGTTAACGAAGGCAGGAGCCGGGAGATGAGCAGCCTACTGGGGCTCAGAGCCCCTCGCCCCTCCCTCATCAAGTCCCTCTGGGAAAACACAGGGCAGAACAGAGCACTGGGTGGGGGGTGGGTGTGAAGGACAGGAGGGGTGATGCCTGGGTCCCCGACTGGACCCCTGCCCATCTGAGCCCTCCTGAGGGCTTTTACAGTCTCCCAGGGTCTGGGGAGGAGGCACCAGGGCCACAGCGGTGGCCACAGGGGCCCTCCCCCAGCCCCACGCTCAGCGCTTCTGGAAACTGCAGGCAGAGAAGCAGCCCTGCCCTGTCCCCCTGTTCTTCTCTCTCTATCATCCATCTCTCTCCACGCCATCTCCTCTCTCCTCGGTCTGAATCTCTCCTTTCTCCTTTCCTCTAAGCCCGCACTCAGTTTGTCTGTCTTCTGCTCTTGTCGGCTAGACTGTCTTTTCTCTTCCCTCCAGGTTCCCTTTCGCCCCCTCCTCATCTCTCTTGCTCACTCCATTCTCCAGGTCAGTCTCTTCTTGCCTGTCTTGAAGCTTTCTCCTTTCTCATCCCTCTTTTCCTATCTCCTCTCAGGGTGTCTGTCTGTTTTTCTCTCTCCATGTCCCCTGGACCCGGGTCTCCAGGCTGTTGTTCCCTCCAGCCCAGGACTGACCAGGCAGTGCTCCCCCCACCTCAGGATGAAGCTGGGGGACCTGTGCCTCCCCCCATGGGGCTGCCTGGCCAAGAAGATCCTGTGGGGAGCAGGCAGGGGCCTGGAGTGCCGGCAGATGGTGCAGGAGAAATGAGGCAGAGAGAGATGGGGAGAGGGGGGCCCCATAGGGACTGAGGCCAGAAATGGGAGGCCAAGATAGCCCCCTGGGGACTGCGAAGAGACAAGGCCTGAAAGACAGAAACCCAGAGACACACACACACACACACACACACACACACACACACACACACAGGATCCAGAGAAAGACAGGAACCCAGAGACAGAGATCCAGAGATGGGGGCCTAGAGAGACCAACACAAAAAACATGGGACTCAAGAGAGAGACGGAGACAAAGAGGGACATGAGACCCAGAAAGACAGAGACAAGACCCGAAGAGAGACTGAGACATAGAGACATAATACCAAGAGAGACACAGAGACGTGGAGAAACCTAGGGATGGAAACCCAAAGAGAGAGAGAGAGAGTAAAAGGACAGAGAAAGAGACTCAGAGAGAGGAGACCTGAGAGACAGAGACCCAGAGACAGGTATCAGAGCGATAATCAGAGACAGAGATGAAGAAACGGTCCAGAGAGACAGAGAGACTTGGAACACAGATAAATGAGGATGGGGATAAACTCTCAAAGACACAATCAGATAGAGATGAGACAGAGATGAGGCCTGGCTCCCCTCACCCTCTTCCAGGAGCGGGGGTGCTTCCCCTGACCCTGCCTCTCCCCCCTCACTGCCCCCCACCCTCCCGCAGCACGTCCCCAGTCTCCATAGCAACCTTCCCAGATCCTGAGGGCAAATATTGTCCTGGGCAGAAGCAGCGGGGCTGTGTTGACATAATCT